AGGGACCCCTATTAGCAGCCCACTCCGCACAGGCCCTGGACGGTAGATTACATAACAGTTTCTCCACGACAGCAACCTTATACCAGGTTAAGACGAACTGAGTAATTTACTTCATAATATCGGATTTTGTATGTCTCACTCGCTCTCTTACATGTCGTTTTTGAATTGAGTAATCAATATTAAGTTGAACGTGTACTGTTTAGTATGCTCGTTCTACATACTAAAACGTGGTAGTCAAACTAACCTACGATTTAGTTACAAATAAATAAATGACCCTGTCTACTAAAATGGACTCAGCTGATTTTCAAGAACAAAATAATTCTCCTGAATCATGACAGCAAGATCTAAGACGATCCAAACAAAAGGAAAATTAACAACAACGATTGAACTGATTTTTTATCGTAAGAATTTTATTTTTATTTGATAAAGGTCAGTAAATAATAGAATAATAATATTAAAACAAATAAACCTAAAAAAAATCATACATGATGTTTGTTTTTATTTTTTTTTAGCATGCACACTATTTTTTGTATCAAAAATAGAAAAGTTTATCGGAGATCGACTCGGAGTTTCGTGATGTTCCACTGGTCAGGGCTCAAACAAGAATGGTTTTTTTATCAAATAATTAAAGAAAATATTTGATTACTTTCTAAGCGCCTATAACACACACCAAGCAGATTTTCAAATTTACAATTTTCTACACTTGTATACTCCAAATCTCCTGGGTTCGTTACAACTGAAAAATAAAAACCCAAATATTAATTTTATATACGTATATAAACTAAACTTAACACTATTTTATTTTAATTATTATATATATATATATATTCACCAATAGTAGTAGGCTCAGCTATCGTCCGGTTCAAACTCTTCCCCTGTTTTTTTTTTTTAACAGGAGTTTTTATCTATTGTTTCCTGTTTAGGACTGGGTTTTTGGTTCTTTCTAAATTATTTCCTTTCTCTATTTTAGTGGCATTATCGCCTTCCTTAGTGTGAATATCTCTGTCTGTCTATTTATCGGTATATACATCGTCTCATTAAAAGGAAAACTGGAGTCAGAATAATACAGACAAATTATTACAGTTACAATCTATGAGAGAAATAATCGAAGAGGAAGCTTTATCACTCACATTTGTTCCCTTCGTAAATAGAAGAATGCCTTGCTTATACACATACAAACAGAAGAAGAAGAAGAAGAAGAAGAAGAAGAAGAAGAAGAAGAAGAAGAAGAAGAAGAAGCAATATCTTCGTTCGCTAGTAATGACTGGATTGTTTAAAAATGCCCCCCCCCTGTCAGAGAGAGAGAGAGAGAGAGAAAAAGAGAGAGAGAGAAAGAGAGAGAGAGAGAGAGACCCAACATATTTTCCGCGTGTGAGCCTTCGCGGACGCACAACATAAATGACGGTTGAGATATTTGGGTGTGACTCTCCCTGTACCCATAGGTCTAAGCAAGAATCGCCTCACCTCCAACAGGCTGTACATTTTGTATATGAATTAAAAAAACACAAATACTTCTTGTCCTATCTATCTATCTGCAAACATACCGAGTATACCGAATATATATATATATATATATATATATATATATATATATATAGTGAGAGAGAGGAGGAGGTTTATTCGATTGTGAGAGGATATGAAAAAACATTATTTAAGGATGGAACACAACAAAGGGATAGGAATTATCTATCTCAGTTCTTAACTTCATACCTATCTCTTTTTATCTCAGATAATATCTATGATACTCTATATACCTTGCGTATTTGTTTTCCTATCTATCTATCTATCTATCTATCTATCTATCGTTGTTTGTCTCTCTGACAATAAGTAAGTAAAAAGGTTATTTGAACGCTAAATATTTTCATAAAAATGAGATCATGAAACAAGGAGCTGCATTTAATATTTTTAGTTATAAATATTTATTTCGAAAATAGCGTTCAAGTTCTGAACAGCGTGTAAATGAACATTGAAATATTAAAGATTTCTTCACTCTTTGGAGTGCATCAACACGTCTCTCGGGATGTGTTCAATCTTTTATTTACTAATTCATATAAACGAGAAGGCGTGCTCCATGAACTTTCTTCTCTCAATTCAATAAATTGTTACTAAAAATTCTATTACTTGTCCTTTAAATATGATAGACCCCACCATGTATGAAACCTTTTTTTAACAAAACGCGAAAGTAGGCGCGATTGTCAGTTTTATGTTCAGGTCGACGCTACGTGAGAACAAGTTTGTTGTTAATAGCACTGTTATCTTTTCTCTTATTATCGTAATATATATATATATATATATATATATATATATATATATATATATATATATATATATATATGTGTGTGTGTGTGTGTGTGTGTGTGTGTGTGTGTGTGTGTGTGTGTGTGTGTGAATAAAAAAACAAATACAGAAACGGATTTTACCATCCTGTTGAATTCTGATCCATATTTGATCTTTAACTCATATATATATATATATATATATATATATATATATATATATATATATATATATATATATATATATTCATTAAAAGACAACTGACAAGGTACTACGATTAAGGTTTTTATTCAATTTTTCATGCATTCGTGTAAGTGTTTCTTTTCTGGTCAGGGAATGTGTAAAAAACTGTCCAAACGTTCTATATATCAGAGCGCTTTCGGCTATTCTATTAAATTCATAATTTTCAAAGCATTCTTTTCAATTTTTAACTGAATATGTAGATTTTTATGCATGTGTATCTGTAGCTATGGGAAAGTTCGTTTTTGTTTTTTTTTTTTATTTTACAAATAGGGTCAACACCTTGTGACCGTTTTATTTATTTGCTATCATTGAGTGCTAAGTTGTAGTTAAAGTGTCGATCCCTATACACAAAACTTTGATTCTAAAACTGGAAAAATACAATAAACAACTTCAATCAACAGACAAATTTGCTTAGATGCATATTCACTGCCTAAATATATATTATATATATATATATATATATATATATATATATATATATATATATATATATATATATATATATATACATATCAAAACTTTCAAAAGTATATATAGTATGATACAAGTTACTGATATTATAATAGTTGTTTTAAGATTCATTTTAAAAATTTTAATACTAAATTCATTATAATCATAATTTTATTATAATGAATGTTTTTTACAATTTTATGTATTTAATAATTAATAACAATAATTATTTTGCAGGTAAGGAATGTATGTGAATCAAGGGGCAAATGGTTTGAACATTTCAGGGATTATTTTATTATGTTTATTATTGATATTATTTGTATAATCAATGCAAGACGTTTTTTTTTTGCGCACATTTTGTATTTTAGTGTAGTGTAGTGTATATTAGTGTCCACAGTCTATGCTCACTTTTGCATCCCTATATATATATATATATATATATATATATATATATATATATATATATATATACCTGAATAGGTACTGTTTTTTGTAATTTTTCGGGCCGTCCTGCTATCATTATTCAGTTCTTTCTATCTTTTTAAGTATGTCATGTTTCCTTCAAACTTTTTCTTTCTTTCTTTTCCCCAGCCCAAGGAAGAGTAAACACGCTTTCGAGAAATCTGAGACATTTTCTTTTTCCTTTTTTTTTTTTTTTCGAAAAAAAAATGTTGGGTACTTACCTTGGATAACTACTTCCGAATTAGCTTTCCAAAGGAATTTATCGCTTACGCATCCAATTGGTCCGAATGTGTTGAAAAGAAATCCGATTAAGACAGACGTAGAATATTTCCAGAAAGACGGTCTGTGCGACCGATAGCTATCCATGGTGAAAGTAAACATCATCAGAGGATATCACTTCTGCAAACAAAATATACCTCAGATATATATATATATATATATATTTATATATATAAATATATATGTAAATATATATTTATATATATATACTTTTTTTTACATACACACACATATGTAGATACAATTTGGCTATAGAATCATCATTGTGCTGATGTAACATGTAGGGATTTTGTTAACTGTTTTGTTTTTTTAGTACAATAAAATTAAATTATGACAATGAAATCAGCTTTGCATATCTAAGTTTGTATTTTTTTTTCTAGAAAGTAGAATTTAAACATTTGTGCTTATAAATATGTTTCACAAAAAATCGGAACATTTAGATCTTTCATAGTGTTTCATTTTTTTTTTTTTCTTTCTTTTCGTGACAAGTTAGAACCGGGTTAAAATGTTTGCCAAGTTGTAGGTTACAAAACAAAATACCTATTGTCTTTAAATGTGTTTCTAATTAAATAGAGAGTTTAATTTCGGAAATTCTGTGCGCGTCTAATATACAGTTAGACAAAATAATTTTTTTTTCTAAATTGAAAAAAAAATATCACATCAAATAGGCAGTCCCTACGCAACGAGAAAAAGTTTTTTTGTTTTTTTTTAAACTGAAAATCTAAGGTTGTACGCATGTAAACCGTTGTGTGATTCAGAGATTTTACTTAGAATGCAGATCTTTCCATTAAATGTGTAGATCACGCCTGTGATTCGGAAACTATCTACATCTATGTGTGTGTATGTGTGTGTATGGTGTGGTGTGAGAGCAACGCTCTCGGCTTCTTCTGTGTATACAGCCCTTGCGTTTTACTAGAAATGTGTCGATTACAGGTTTCACAGAAGAAACACAAGCAACACCTTACGCCTTTTACGCGCATGCCCAAAAGACGGACTTTTTAAGAGTATGCGAATACGGCTGAGTGCCTCTGTGTGAAAAGACGGGCTATATTTTTAGTGTGTCGTTTTATTTAGACTTATTTCCTAGCAGAAACATGTGTGAAACAATAAATAAAAGAGCTGGTTCTACTATTTATTAATCCTTCTAAGTGAAGCTAATTAATTGAAAATTTCTGGGAAAGAAACGCGTGTTTTATATATATATATAAAATTTTGATATTTACTCGTTTGTTTGGTGGTGGGTCTTTGTGAACATGAACAGACAAATAGGTAACTAGATAGATATATGGCTATAAACAGGAGATAGATAGATAGATAGATAGATAGATAGATAGATAGATAGAAAGAAACGTGGATAAATATGAGATAGAAGTACGAATAAACGTAAATAGATAGGAACAAACGTATAGAGAGAGATAGGAACAAACGTATAGACGAATAAAGATAGATAGATAGATATGGATAAACGCTGATAGATAAACAGGAGATATATAGATACGAATAAAACGTAGATAGATAAATATAAATAGGAGATAGATACGAATAAACGAAAATAGATAGATAGATAGATAGATAGATAGATAGATAGATAGATAGATAGATAGATAAGAATGAACGAAGTGATATAAACACGAAATAGATAGATACGAATAAACGTAGAGAGATAAATATAAAAATAGGAGATAGATACGAATAAACGAAAATAGATAGATAGATAGATAAATAGGTAGATAGATATAGATACGAAAAAATGTAGCTAGCTTGATAAAACCAATGTTAAAAATGTGTACAAATTACAATTGTATGTGTGCCCGTAATATTTATCCATATTACTTGCATTGAATATTCACCTTAACTGTTTTAGTGTTTAAACCATTTAAAACTTGTGTAGACATATGTGTAGATGTATTTTTGTGTATGTCTTCCTTGGTACTTAAACGTATGAGCGTGTGGGAAATGTTCTGTTATGCCTGCTCAATCGCAGGCATTCACATATATACGCGTGTTTACAATTCTGGCTGTTTTAAACGTAGCCTACAAAATGTTTTATAATATTCAACCTAAATGCATATTTTTTTTTCTTTTTTTTTTTACTTATATAAATGAGAACGTCACTCGTCCGATTTTGCATGTGTTCAAAATCATTTTTTCAAACAATAATACCCATAAAAATAAGCGTATTTTTAGCTCGGATTTGGACAAGAGCTACAGGCGAGAGAAACGCGTGGACCATTCATACCTCTCTTCTGTCCACGTGAAGTCTATTTTTTTTTTTTTTTTTTTTACTCGAGTTTTGTATGTATCTATCAAATTGCTTATCCTTAACAGTCAACACCGTTCGACACTACGTTTGCAGGTGATTGAAAGTATGGAAGGTGTGTTTAGTTTGGGATATAAAAATAGATATTGTATGAAGAGGCTGGTCTGGTCAGAGAATTTTTTTTTTCTTTCGTTCAAAATGGGCAAACGTCCAGGCGTGTAAATATCCAGTCTGCCTCAGAAATGGCATGCAAATTTCCTTTCTTTAACTTCCTCTTTTACTTTCTCTCGCCCCCCTCTCTCTCTCTCTCTCTCTCTTTTCCTCTCTCTCTCTCTCTCTCTCTCTCTCTCTATCTATCTATCTATCTATCTATCTCGCTCCCTCTCTATCTATCTCTTCCTAACTCTCCTAGTTTCCAATCTTTCCGAATCTTCGTCCAGTAGATATAGAAAAGGTTTTTTTTTTGTCTTGCTTTCCTTCTCTTACTTGTTGTATATATGTATGTATGTATGTATGCCTGTATGTATGTATGTATGCATGTATGTATACAAGAAAATATATGGATTTATGTTTATTTCCCCCTTTTTCTCATCTTTTATGCCGGTTTGTGAATCAGTTGAATTTAAGTTTTAATATTTGTCCAACTTAGATTTTTGCACGTAATATAAGCGTTTAGATATGAACTAAATACGTCTTTGCGGGACCTTACGAACTAAAAAAAGTATTAAATCTGGTTCTGTGATGA